TCTGCCTTGCAAGCAGGCAGTCGTGAGTTCGATCCCCGGTACCAATAAAAAAAGGAAAAAAGACCAAAAAACAAAAAAAAAAAAAAAAAAAAAAAGAAAGAAAAAAGAAAACTAGCATAACAGCTTGAAAGAAATTAAGGATAGATTATCTGAACTAGAGGGCAGATTTATAATATGAGAGCATGAAATGAAAAACTTAAAAATAACAAAAAAAACCAAACAGCAATAATACAAAGGCTAGAAAGATAATAAGAGGATCTATAACTTAAGAACATAAAAGATGAAATAGGGACACAAACAAATGGACTACAAAAGCTATTCACAGAAATAATCCAAGAGAATTTCCCTAATTTAGCAAATGGTAAAGATACTCAGATGTATGAGGCATACAGGACCCAGCCACCTACAACCCAAACAGAGCTACACCTAGGCATATAATAATCAAAATTCCAGAAATCCAATATAAGAACAGAATATTAAAAGCCGTCAGAGACAAGAAACAGGTCACTTACAAGGGTACACCCATCAGAATTACAGCAGGCTTCTTGGCACAAACCATCAAATCAAGAAGAGCGTGGGGGGGGGAATAATTCAAGCTTTGAAAGATAATAACCTCCAGCCAAGACTGATATATCCTGCACAACTGTCCCTAGAAATTGATGGAAACACAAGGTGCTTCCAGGATAAAGAGGATCTAGTGGAATTTGCAACCACCAATTCAACTTTACAGAGAATACTGCAGGATATTCTAAAAAAGGAAAATACCAAGATTCCAGAAATAGTGGCAGAGAGGCCACAATGAATGGAGCAGAAAGCAAAATGAAGAAGACAAACTGACAACAAACGACAGAAAAAGAGCTCAACAGAAATGAGGCAGAGAAGATTGGATGGTATGAACAGCTATTTTGGAGAAAACAAGACATCATAATAGCTAGTGCTGATTTAGTATCATCGTGTTTTGAAGTCCCATCAAACTTGTATTCTTCTGTCTCCATTGGTCTTAAAAGGTTGTATCTTATTGGATTTTATTATATATGACAATATAAGTAAAAACTTTTATAGACAAGGAGATTATACAGAAACCATTGTTCATTTTCTGTTAATTGGTTCTAAATACCCAGTAATAATGTCATTCTCTTGAATGGTTTTATAGTGTCTTGATATGTTTGGTGCTATAGTATACGAAGTTATACTCAAAGATTTCAAGGAAAGAGACACTATGGTAACTATTTTTAGTCAGGCTATCTTGTGGTGAAACACTATTTTGCTTAAATGGTTATGTTTTGACCTGCGCTGTTCTGTTGTTATGCCCTCTTTTATCTCAATCCCCCTTTTTTTAAAATTATTTTTCTTTTTATCTTTTTAATTAAGGGAAAAATAAAAAAATAGCAGGATACATTATAGTAACCTACTCTGATTTCCTATTAACTTGATTCGAAATCCTGTATTGCCCTCACCATCTTGTTTTGACTGATTTTCCCCTATTCTGCTTTGCTTGATAGTACCAAGTTCAAAAGCATAGGCAAAACTGTGAAGACAGTAAGATTCATTATGATGCCCATTCCAGTTGACTATTATCTTCTTTTAAAGTCCTGTAATGTCTCCAATGCTTTGGTTTTGTTCTTTACTGTTTTGTTCAATTTTATTATAACTGGCAATTGTTCTTAAAACAGCAAGAGGCGGGGCTGGGGATTTAGCTCAGCGGCATAAGCGCCTGCCTGCCTTGCAAGCAGGCAGTCATGAGTTTGGTCCCTGGTACCAATAAAAATGAAGAAGACAAAAAAAAAAAAAAATAGCAAGAGGCAGTATGGTAACCATTGTTGATCACCTTGTATTTTGTTTTTACATTATCTATTATGTCCATCCTTTTGAATTGACTGACTCTGTTCTGACATGTTGCATTTGGTTTTACTCTCTTCAAGAAAAGTAATAAGAACTGTGGGAGTAATAAAACCCAAAATGTGTTATTGTCATTGTACAAAAGAAAACAAAGTGCTCTGAAGGTTATAACTGCATATATGTTTAAGTGTATAAGATAGATAGCCATATTACTGTTTTTTGGATCATTGAACAAAACTGTTTGCACTGTCACTGTTTGAAAGTCCACTTTATGTCCTTCAATTCTGTAACTTGAACAACTATTTCTAAGATGAGAATATGTAATCTATTAACTAGTGATTTCTTACTGTTTATTTTTTAAATTTTATGTTACTTGTACCCTTTTTCTGTGTTTTTTCCTTTTTCTCCTTAAATTAAAAAAAAAAAAAAGAAAGAAAGAAAGAAGGAGGGACAAAGAAAGATTCCATTTTATACCCCCAAGACTGGTAAAAACTAAAGTCAACAGCATCAGTTGTTGGCAACTCTTCACCACTGACTTCAAAGCATTACTATTATCTTAAAATCATTTTTGAGTAATTATTGTCATATAATTTCACATTTTAACAGTTTAAAATTAACTCCACTGATTCTTATGGAAACCTTTTAAAATTTTGTAACTAGAAACTCAATAAAACTTAACACAAAAAATCTAAATAATTCAACTAAAATTGGGTTAGAAATCTCAAGAGACATTTCTCAAAAGAAGACACAGAAATAGTCAACATATAAAAAAGCTTATAAAACTAATCATCAGGGAAATGAAAATGAAGACTACAGTGAAATATTCTTATAAGAATGGTTATTATCACCAAGTCAAAAAATAACAAATGCAAAAAACAAACAACAACAACAACAAAAATGCTAGTAAAGATGCAAAGAAAGGGGAGTTTATACACTATTGGTGGGAATGTAAATTTGGACAGCCATTACGGAAAACAGTATGAATAGTCCTTGAAAAATTAAAACACAGAAATGTACAATCTAGCAATTCCCTTGCTATATATATTCAAAATAAATAAAATCCTGTATCAAAGAGATTCTTGCAGCACTATCCATAATAGCCAAACATGAAGCAACCAAGGTGTCCATCAAAGCCTGAATGGTAAAATGTAGGTCACATACACATACACATACAAATGAAATCCTACTTGCAGTAATATAGCTAAAGCCTAAGGTCATTAAGTTAAATGAAATAAACTGAACATAGAAAAAAACCACATATTCTTTCTTATTTATGGAAACTACAAAGTGGATCTCAAAGAAGAATGGAGTGGAAGTAGAATCACTAGAGACCAGAAGGCAAAGAGGAGGGAGGAACTCATGGAATCTGGTCCATTTTTTGGACTGTTTCTATAGTTATCTTTCTTCAATTCAAATCAGATTGTTATTCATCTTATACTCTTTTGATTGTTGTTCACTGCTTACAGAATAAAGGATGCGTTCTGGAGCAAGACATTCGTGGGCCCCCCTCGCCCGAGTCTCTGTCACTCTCTCAAAATCCACATGAATGCACAATGACTCGTACCTCCAATGGCATTTCTCTGTTTAGAGTTTTTATATGTGAATACAATTAAATTGACGAAAAAATTGGAATTTCTGGAAATCAATTCTGCTTCAGGGTATGACATAAACTGGAGGAAGGATCTAGATGATCTCAAATTAACCTATAATAAACTGACAATAATAAATACCAAAATGTACTTTGCAGGCATAATGTTATCACTATCACACAAAAGTACAACTAAATCGTCACGAGGCTGATATAAAGGCATAGGGGCTGGGGATTTAGCTCAGCGGCATAAACGCCTGCCTTGCAAGCAGGCAGTCGTGAGGTTTGATCCCCGGTACCGAAAAAGACCAAAAAAAAAAAAAAAAAAGATATAAAGGCATAGTTTTTATGCATAAGCTAAAGTCACAATAAAATGCAATTTTATGTGCTCTTATTTCTAAAATAATTTCCGTATTACACTGTTTTTATAAATATTATTTTAAAAGTCTAAAACAGTTCCCAAAAGGATGGGAGTTAAGTATAATAGCCAGGCATTTAGTAAGTATAATATAGTTAAACTTTTTCACTTATAGCCGGGTATTTAGGTTGCTTCTAAATTTTTACATTAAATTTAGGCTACTACAAACACATTATATCCAAAATTACATTTCATATTTTAGACAACGTCTTTGCAGTAGAATTTCACAAGGGAAATTACTATATGAAGAATTTCTGAATAATTTACATTAACGTATTTATGAAACATCAAATAACACATCAAAATAGTATTTTAATTATCCATTAGATTCTCCAATCCTTCATCAGACAATCTCTTGCATCATTTATTTGGTTAAGTGCCTACTATTCATTCCCCATTTATGAAATACAGATATTATTTACTGGCTTCCTGCCACCATAAATGACAATTTAGTTCAAATATACCACCGCTTCCCTTTTTCTGCTAAATCAGGTGGTTTGTCAAGTTAAAAAAATATACTTAAATATATTTCTTACTGAACTTTAGTAGTTCTTCAAATTGATCTACTTAGCCTTCTCCATTTCCTAATAGCTATGCATTTACTTTTACATTGTTATAATTAATATTTATAAATTATTTTAAAATCATAAAAAATTGTGAATTATTTCTGAAATGTTCATATTAGTGTTTATCTTGTAATTATATATAGCAGTGAAGACTATGGTTATGATTAAGGTATTATATTCCCTCCACCAAGTACCAATTCAAATGACAATATTCTTACATCAAATGACAGTATTACTTACAACTTTGTTTTGTTTTCTTTTGAGACAGGGTCTCACTATGTAGCCCAGATTAGCCTCAAATTCATGGTGATTCTCCTGCCTCATTCTCCTGAGTGCTGGGATTACATGCATGCACCATCACACCTGGCTTCACTTACAATTTTGATTTTTGGCCTTTGTAAAACAAGAACCACACCAGGTAAAGTATTAAAATACACAAGTTCTTCAAACCATGGTAATTTCTAGTGTGCCACTTCTGTCAAAGTCTAATGATATAATTCCAAATCTAATAGTTTTATAGTCTTTTGTACATGAATCCAATTTTGTATTGGCTACTAGAGATACAAAAGAAGTCGTAAGGCATTCCCACCTGCCAGAGCATCCCGATAAAGTTGCACAAAGTGATTAAAGATGTCTTTTGGCAAACACTTCTCATCTGGTAGACACTGTAGAAGAATAACTATCTCAGATTGACCCACTGCATGCATTCCTTTGGTTGTGAAACACCAGCACTTCCTATTCACATCTAAAGATAGAATAAAAATAGAAAAATGTAGACATTCTTCTCAATCCTTACTCTCAAATATATAGAAATATAGGGTATAGTAAAGAATAAAACAAGTCATAGTGAGTCTGAATAACTCAAATGAACAAAGAACTATTATAGGAAAATAAAGCATGTCAATGTCTCTAACTCTTTTCTCAACACTTAGAAAAGCAACTGGAAGGTATATAAAAGAAATAATGATGAAAGAAAATACACTTAAATTCCTTTACTAAGAGGCATAGGTATTGTAAGAAATAACATTCTATAAATAATAAATCAAAACCAAAACAGACCATAAAGATTACAGGATAATCTTCCACTTTTATACCAACCAAAAACACTGAACTAATGGAAATAATTATTTATGTAATATCAGAAATAACAATAAAAATCAGTATAGTACCTTTGGCTTCAGTATTATACCTTGTAGACTAAAGAAGTACCTTTGATGGATATTTATTAAATTTAGTCTATGACTAAATGATACTAGATATTCCTTTCTGGGAGAAAACTGTAAATAATCAATAATATGACTTTACTTAATTTTAAGCAGTTATAAAGTGGTAAAAAGTAGGCTTCCTGAGAATGTTTACTTCTACTTCTTCACCTGAAGGCTAAGAAAATTCCAAAAATCATAAGCTATAGATAGTCAAAAAGTATTCAATCCTTGAAACTTTCATCATTTAAACCCTGAAACAATGAAATCCTCAAAAGAAATAAAAAAGAATTCAAATAAAATTATGCACACTACCTCTATATAAAAACTATTTCATTTTGAAAAATCTCTTTCATTTTGGAAAAATTTTACCTTTTGTATCTAAATTGGAAGCAACGAATTCCACTATATTAAGATGGTATCCACTTTACTTTTAGTCTTTTTTTTTTTGGTATCAGGAATTGAATTCAGGAAGGCATTTATGCCACTGAGCTATAACTCTGGCCCTTCATTTTACTTTCTGCTAAGGGCCTACACTATAACATTCCTGGAATTAAAACCTAGCATGTACATTGTTTGGCCCTCCTGAATAATTTACTGACTTCAGTTATTCTGGTGGTGAGTTGTAACTTAACATACAATCATCTCAAGAATTTCACTCAGATCAGTCCATGGAGATTCATTTATTTCACCCCTGTGACTAAAGGCAAGAGTTTCAGTTAGTCCCATAGCTGTCTTCTGAGACATATTATTTTATATGTCAACTTCTTCAGGACCCAGGTTTCTATTAAGATGCAGCTTTACTTACAAATATTTGTGTATAATAAATTTGAAAGTTTTAATTACTATCTATGAGCCTATTAATTCATTTTAATTAAAACAAATTTCCAACTTACAATTTACAATTTTAACCACTGACAACAAATTAGCATTTAAAACAAATACAAGTGGATCAGGGCCTCCATCTTCCAGTTGTTGCATTACTGATATCTGTGATGGTTTCTCTTCCACAGCATAGTCTAAAAAGAGAAAAGACATTGCAATACATAAGTTAAAGGGACAAAATAAGAAAGAAATCTGATAGACCTGGGGCTGATTATTCACAAGACAAAGACAGGCATTTGATTTACAGACATACTGGAGAGAGGCCCTGGTTTTTACCTGATATCCCTAGGATCATGAGAAAGCAACCTTTCTTTCTTTTTTTTTTTTTTAATCTTTTTCTTTTTTATCGGTACTGGGGATCAAACTCACGACCACACACTTGCAAGGCAGGCGCTTATGCCACTGAGCTAAATCCCCAGCCTCAAGAATAGCATCTTTTATTCTAAAAAAGGACCCTGCCCAGTCTGAATGATAGTAAGTTTACTCTGTTTATCAATCTCTCCCCACGTGGTCTGCAGCAAATCTAAAGATGCATCTCCCTTCTTAAGAAAAACTTTCCGGGGCTAGGGATTTAGCTCAGCAGCATAAGCACCTGTCTTGCAAGCAGGTGGTTGTGAGTTCGATCTCCGAAACTGATAAAAAGAGAAAAAAAAAAAAGAAAAAGAAAAACTTTCCAACTCACATAACAAGGATGTCATACAATAAATTTCACAGGCCAACATTTGAAATAATGCAACATACACAAAAAAGTTATGATGTACTAATAGTTACCTCGGGAAAGGTTGTTAATGAGTTGGAAAAAAAGAGATCTCTTTTTATTCTGTACATTTGTACTAAGATAGTTTTGACTATTAAAAAACTAGACTTTAAAAACACTCAGAAATGAATTATTGTAAATATGTGATTCATATAATAACTCTTCTATGAACCCATAAAACAGAACAACATATGATGATACCTATGTTTAAGAAGGTAACTGGTAATAATATGGAATATAAAATAAAGGAAAGAAAGCCTGAGGTTAAGGAGATCAGGTTTAAAGACTAAGACAAAAAAGAAAACAGTACTAAAATCTTTCTCCTGAAAAGGAACTGACTGGATGTTGATCTGTATATATCAACAGTGAACTCTGCCAAAGTGAAACATTCTTTTGATTGGAAAATAATTGTATCTCTTAAAACTCCCTAAAAATATATGCATACATATTATAAGCATTATACATGCATGCATAATTTTTGCAGCATTAAAGATCAAACCCAAAGCCTAGCACACAATAAAATATTTAACAGTAAAACTGATGCTTAAGCCCGCCTCACACTTATTATGTATCTTTCTAAACAGAAAGCTAAAATTAATGCCCTTACTATATCAGGGTGAGCCAATTCTAACACCATGATCAACTCTTCAGAGTATCATGTTCTTTGAAATATAAAGAAAAAACATAACAAGTTATATTTATATTATAATTAATATATCACCTCAAAATGAAATAACATCAGAAAAACATAAACATCTGTCATAAAAGAGTATGTGTTTTGTTCTATCCTGTTTTGTTTTTTGGTTTCTTTGAAACAAGGCCTCACTATGTAGTTGAAGCTGACCTTGAACTTACTATGTAGCCCAGGCTGACCCTGTACTCATGGCTACTCTCCTGCCGCAGCCTTCCAAGTTCTGAGATTACAAGCATACAACACCAAGCCAGCTCCTATTAAATAATGAGTAAGAGTAACAGCTGTTTTCATGGCATTTTTGTTGTACAGGAGATCAAGGGTTATCACTCATTCTGTCTCCTCTTAATCAGAAGGCAATGAACCTTGTTTACATGTACAAATTCTACTTACCTCCTTTTACGCCAGTGGAGATAAGAATGGGAGGAAGACCATCTTCAGGAATCAGATTCATTGCACTTCCAACAGGACTTCCAACCTGAGTTATATTCCCAGAGAACAGAGAAACATCCACCTAGGAAAAGCAAATCAGCAAAGCAAGCATTATAGAGTGCAAGCTCTTGGTAGATACAGTTAGTAATGTAAATGGGAATTTAAGTGAAAATTTTAAAGTTATACTTTCGTTTGCTTTTGTTTTGTTGTTTTATGAATCAGGGTCTCACTATTTAACGTCTACTTAATGTCTACTAGTTAACATAGACATTAAACTCAGTATGTAATCCAGGCTGGCCTCAAACTGGCAGTGAATTCCTTCCCAAGTGCTGAGATTAAAGGCATGACAGGCATAGTTGAAATTCATATTTTTTGAAAGACAGTTTAAGATAACTAAAATATTTATACAGCTTTATTAATAAAAAAGAAATTAGAAATAATCCCAATGTCCACCAATAGGAAAATAGATAAACTGCAGCATATCCACATAATGGAACACTACTCAGTAATAAAAAGTTAATTTTTTTTTTTTTTTGGCCAGGTATGGTGGTGCACACCTGTAATCTAGCATTTGGGAAGCTGAGGCAGAAGGATCACAAAGAATTTGAGGCCGGCTTGGGCTATGTAGTGAGTTCAAGGCCATCCTGAACCACGTAGCAAAACTCTGTTACCAAAAAAAAATTTTTTTTGATACACACAACATGGATAAGTTTGTAAATATAAGGCTGAGTTTAAAAGTTAAATCCAAAACATTCTATATTCCTACTTATATGAAATTCAAAGCCAGGAAAAAATAATATATGGCAGTGATAGTGAGCCTGAAAGAGCTTTCAGTGATACAAAGAGCCTCCTGTGATCTGTGTAAACAATAGCCAGAATAATGGTTACCTGTTTGGGCAGGGGCAGGTATTAATAGAAAAAATGCATAAGTTTGCAATTATAAGTTTTGTCTATTCACCTAGTTCATATAGCCACAGATAATATAAACTAAAAATCTGCATCTATGTGTGTACATATACATGCACATGAAAAACAGTATGATTTTTCCTCAACAGCTGGCTATTACTGTGTATAGAGGACATCATATATCACACAAAAAACCACTACTGGCCCATAGAAAAAAATTGAAAATACATGTGCAACAATCTTGATGACAAGGTTATCCAAGCAGCAGTTCACCACACTAATAAATGTCTGGAAGTTAACGGCCACTTCTTATAACTGTAGCAGCCAAAGGTAACTTGTATTAATCTCATGATGTCTTGGTAAGTTTAATATTAAAATATTTATATAAGTTTTTACATTTTTTGGTAAGCTCCATATGTATCAAGTTGTCTCATAAAAGTTAATGCTCTTCAAGCACTTAAAGGGCTGGAAGATACTAAAGCTATTTGTATTGTTTGTTTATTTGTTTGTTATCGGGGATCGAACTCATGACCTTGCACTTGCCAGGCAGGTACTTATACCACTGAGTTAAATCCCCAGCCTTTGAGCTATTTTTAATAAATATGTCCATGTCTGCCCATACTTTTTGATTTCCACTATAAGATTTTAGTGGGTTTTTCCTAAAATTTTCCAGCGTGGTCAATACAACACCATGTAAAAAGAGATTTGGAAAATTTTATTAACAAACAATTGATTTGAAGGGCTGGTATAGGAAATAATTGATTCTATCTTGCTATTTAATAATAAATAAATCTACCTATTAATATCAAATGAATCAAGTATCTGGCAGCTACTTAAATTTTATGTGAAAATTAATTTACTCCATTTATTAAGCATCTATTAAGTGCCAGGCACTCTACTAAGCCTTCGAAATAAGAAAAAAGTTACTCCAGTCTGAATACAGTTTTTTTTATGTTTACCAAGTAAATAATTAAAATAAAAAGATGAACAATATAAAAGCACTGAAATAAAATAATTAACTTGGTTTAGTTCCTTTTGTTTTGCTATAGCACTCATTCACTAGAGAATTTATTTTAAAATATTTGTAAGAACCTTTCATATAAGCAGAGATAGAAGAAACCTAATAGAAAAATCATCATCATGTAAGTCCCATATTTATATCTGATTCGGACACATACTGTCAAAGAACAGTAAAAGCATTAGCTGAAAGATTACTGGGGAACAGGATATTCAGTCTCATATGACCCTTCTTACTTACTAAGACCCTATTACTTACTAAATAAAAAGTGGAGAAACATAGTAGACATCTTCTTAACCTATCATCCAACTGATACTTCTTGATATGACACACCAAAAAATGAACACCCTTTCTGTAGTATTACTGTCCCAAAATTTTAATCCTTAGCTAATCATAAAAAAGTGACATAAATACTAATTGAGAACATTAAGCAAAACATGGTCCAGATGTTTCAAAATATTAATAAGACAAAACAAAAAGCAGGAAAACAGCTTAGCAATAAAGAAAATCTAAGAAACAGGACAACTAAATTTAACTGTAATCCTTGATGGGATCCTGATTTTTAAAAACAAATTTTATTGAATTGCAAATTTGTACCTGTGCACACACAAATACATATATTAAAGCTATAAAGAACATTTTTAAGAAAACTAGGGAAATCTGAATATGGATTCTGAATATGGATATACACTAGAAAACAGAATTATGTGTTATAGTTCTTGCTCATGTGATCATTGTGCTTATGTAAGAAAATGACTTACTCTTAAGATACACTGAAGTTCCAAGTGGTGCAGTTAGGCAAAGTCTCAAATAGCTGGGAGGGACGGAGGGAGGAGGAAAGGAAGGAAGGAAGAAGAGAAAAAAGATAAAGGAAAGGAAATGAAAGGAAGGAAAGGAGGAAGGGAAGTGTGTTACCTGCAGTGGTAAAGTAAATGACAAAATGGCTAGTGAACAGAGGTATAGATCTTCACTATACTATTCTTCCAACTTTTCTCTGGGTTTGAAATATTTTCCAGTTAAACAGTTAAGGATTTTTAAAAAAGAAATTTTCTTGAAACAGTCATGGTAGAGATACAAAGAAAGATAAAGCATAGTTTTGGCTCTCACCCTCTGTGACTACGGGGAGGGGAAACATGTTGAAATGGAAAGAGGAACTAGGCAGGGAGGAGGGGAAAAGACAGGAAGGGAAAAAAGAAAACATGGTGAGAAAAGAAGGGGGAATAGAAACAAAACTTTTGTAAATAAGGAGGGGAAAAGAAGTTGAAGAGAGGGTATGAAAAGGAAGGAAAGGAAAACAATATGAGAAAAGAAAGAAACGTGTAAATGTTTCCCCTCTTCTGTAAATAAGGAAAGGAGAGGATGAAGGGAGGGTAGGGTTGAATGGTGAAAAAAAAGAATCAATATGTACAGGTACAAATTCCCTATAATGAATGTGATCATTATGTATACCTAAAATTTGCAAATAAAATTAATTTTTAAAAGATATTTTTTAAAAACCAGACTTAGCATATTTGAAGATATGGCATGGTTTAATGTATCTAAACAGGAAACTCTGCTCTGATGGCTTTACTCAAGCCAAACCAGGCTACCAAGAAAGAGAATCTCATCACCCCAAACTGTGATTGGTACTTCTACAAAGATGAAAATGAGAGCACAGTATGAGCTAGTTTATTTAGATAATTATATCAATCTTCTATTTGTTAAGCAATGGTTTAACTTATTCAAACTTTGGAATCCTTTTTTAAAAATCTTAAATGGAAACATAATAGGTCAAACAAAAAATAGTAGAGCCGATTAGGCTGAAGAGAAAAGAAAAGAGTAGTTCCTTAGCCACATTCCTACCATCCCACTCTTCTTTACCACGCACTCCCAAGAGGCTACCACAGAACGTGGGGAACATGGTGGCAGCCTGAGTTCATCTGAGAAAAACTCTATGAAAATCTTTTTTTCTGAAAATACTTTCAAATACTGGGCAAATAAAAACATTTGATATTGCTACATTTACTTTACTCATGTGAGTACTTGTAAATGCTTTCTCTGTTATAGCCAAAGCTACAGGGTCCTATCCAAAAGTCTCTTAATTTAGTAAAAGGCAGCACCATGTTTAGTGAAATAAGAACTCACTTCTAGTTGCTCTATTGTTTTTCTTACCTCTGCTGGTAGAGGACTGGTAGCTACTGGCTTGACTGGGTCATGTGACACAGCCAGGGTTCCTGCAGAGGAAGTTCCATTCATTGTTAATTTGGCTGCATCAGCAACTTCTCCATTGGGCAAAATCCCATCAGCGAACCAAACTCTCCTCTGCTCTCTGGGCTGAGCCACTTGAGGGGCCAGAAAAATAAAACAGGCATCAATGTGACATTGGTAGGATTTCTAATATCAAAGAAGAGAAGGTCACCAATTCCAGATGTACAAGGAAATCATTATTTAGCATCTTAACAATTAGAAATATTTTAATAAAATACATACTTAAAAATACAATTTCTTCGTATAACTTATATGCAAAAACTTAAAATACTTTTCTTTAAAATATTAAGATTAACCACAAACGTCCTGTATCACTGATAAAAACTAAGGAAAGTGTTTCAAGTGCCTAGAAAATAAATTCATAGCAGCAACAGAAATTCATATCTACTTAATCTCAAGTTTCCATAGAAATTAAGTTTCTGGAAAAGTGATACAGTATTTTCAAAGGGCAAGAGATGCTCTAAAGAGTTGAAGAATTATTAATTAATAAAAGAAGATTTAGCTCAGATTTGTAAGAATTTCACAGTGCACTGACCAGACCTTTGCCTAAAGTACAATTGAAGAAGAAAAAGACTGATCTGGCAGTACGAAAGTAGTCTGCATTTCAGTAAAAAGACAGGGAAAAAGCTGGAAAATTAAGTCTGATGAAATGACTTCTTTAAATCCAGTCTCAGAAATCAAACACTCAAAACAAAGAGAGACCAGGGAAGACCAATAAAAATGACAAATGAAGTAAAGAGAATAAAGATTTTAAGAAAGAAAGACTGAACTCACAAAAACACATCATTGAAGAATAACCTGAAAAGAGGGAAAAATAAAGAAGAGTATGAAAATCTTAATAGACATTCTTGATCTTCAAAAGGGGAGGAGGGCCATTTAGCAAAGGGAAGGGATTATTACCAAAGAAAAGATGTAAAATTAACAAAGGAAGACTGATTTAGTTATCAAGGGAAAAATCCTGATAAGATCATTAAAAGAAATAAACATGATTATTAATTTTACTCTTCGTAATTCTCTGAATTCTGCAAAATACCTTTCATCTAAAAGGTAGTGATATAAGTAAGCTGAATCTGTAAATTCCTACCAGTCATATGATAGAATTAAAGTCCTAGATTTTAAAGTATATGTTCCTAAGATAATATTTTCATATTTTATAATGGATAGATTAAAAATCAGAAGAGAAAAATGGTAATGAATATTCTAAAAAGCAATACTAGAATGGGCTGATCATAAGGAAGAACTTTCATTTTCATTTCATTAGTAAACTCTTACAAAGAAAATTAAGTTAAGCATGGTCTAAGATTTTATAGGCTGACTGCAAATTCTGGAACCTATTTCAAGTATAAGCAGTACAATTATTCCACTCTCAAACTGAAAAGGAGACTGGCATGTTTTCAGAGATGCCTCCAAATTGGGACATCAGGCAGCAAAATTTTTATTTGATACTTGCCCAGATATAGTCTTGACACACTTCTCACCTTATTCTTCCACTTTAATAACCACCCAAAAGGACTTATCTGCAGTATTTTAAAGACTGTGCTGTCAAGTCACATCAGCACCTTTTCAGAGGAACTGGGTGAGGAAAAAGAGAGAGAATAGCACATGATCCCCTACCTTCTGCTCCAGGGTGCTTTAAAACTCCCACAGGTACCATCACAGTGGGAGGTGGAGAGCTCAGAGCTCCTGAGGCCTGAGCTTGCTGCAAGGGAGGGATAGTAGAACAGTACTCAGCAGGATTGTTAGGGTTAGGGCTCTGGCTTGAGGCACTCATCATGTTCTCCCAGGCTTGAGCTAAAGCAAATACAGACACAATCAATGTGAATGGATTACAAAATATGGACATCAAGACCTCCATAATACTGGATAAAAATAATGTAGCTCTTCCTCACTAGCACTCATAGTATGTATCTCTTCCAGCTAAAGAAGGTGTTAAGGAGACAGTTTTATTCAATAAAGGAAACCATTTAGATAAGTAAACTCTTCAGTTGGAGCAAGTAAAAATTGTGAAATTTAAAAAAAACAATTACATTAGAGACCGGGGATTTAGCACAGTAGCTTAAGTGCCTGCCTGGCAAGCACAAGGTTGTAAATTTGATCCCCGGTACCCTGCCCCTCCCAAATTATTACATTATACTTCTGATACAGACTGAGTACATAAGTTTGAGTTAAAAAAAAAACAAAGCCTATGGCTTTTTGAAAGGAGATCATGTATTTCTTTAAGAAGGAATAAACAAACATCAATTTTAAATATTTGCAACTGGGATGGCCACTAGGAATTTTCTCGTTTAATAGTTAATATATTTTATAAACTTCTAACAAAAATCAAAATCTGGGACAAAAATAATAATTCCACTGTATGATTTTTAGTTTCATTCCTAGATTTTCAGGCTCTTAGTTGAGATTAAAGGCTCATCTGAAACCTTTAGAAGTCTAAAGCTCAGAAGAAAAGATCTCAATATTTTTATGAATTCTGATTTTTATGCAGTCACTATCCTATATGAAAGTATTTAGCAATAACCACCATTTTACATCTTTAGTGTGTCTCAAAAGTTTAGGACCCATTTGAACATGAAAATGTGCCAATATAAATGTGATCAACTAGTATGCATCCTATAGTTTTACTAACTAAATACTGAGGTATCCATATTGTCTTTAAAAGTAAACAGGATGAAAAGTGCTATAGAAATGAATGATATCAAATTTTGTATCTGAGTTTCAGGTAATATTATATACCCAGGAATAGAAACCACTTAATTTTTTAGCATGTTCTCAAAAGTTTCATTTAACATCAAAGAATGATCCATAAGATTTTGAATTATTTGTCTCCAAACTGCAAGACAAGGGTAGTAACAAAAGCTGTGTTCTTTTCAAAGCACTGGCAGGAAGAGGGAAGAAAGAGAAAAGGAGAAAAGGGAAAGATATAGGGAACACTGAAAAGCATCAAATTAAATATTCAGAAAAAGACCAGGCTAAGCCATGCAAGAGGAAAGACACTGGCAAAACCAGAAGTAGATTACCTTAGGATCCCTGTTAAGGGCCCCCTTGGCTTAATAAAAAGTATTTCATATGTATCCTCTGCCATTTCTTTCATCTTTAGCTATGTCAAGTTTAAAAAAAGGTGGAAGACCTCATCAAAGAGGTATTAGGTATAATACTTAAATAGCATGCTCTTGTCTATAGACATGTGTCTAAATATAAAAGCAATAGAATAAAAATCATCAATTGAGTCCCTGAGTAGAATAATCACCATCTAAAAAGTGGCCCTTAAGAGTAAATGACTCACATTTGATCAAAATTACAAGAATTCAGAAATGGGAGGAATTGGGTGGTTTTACAGATTAGAATAGATCAGATTAACTGACATGCAACAGGTTAACAAGCCAGCAACAAGAAAACATCACCATAAGCAACACAGACAGACAGAGCAAGAGGGACCTCAGAGCAGGTAAGTTTCAGCCTGGAGGAGGCAAACCATCCAGGCACAGGCAGCAGTGGTGTCTAGGTTTGTCATTTGAGGTCTAAACGAGTAATTGGTTAAGGTTACAAAGAGACATTCAAGAGAAAAACCATACACAGCCTCATTCATTTTATTGCATATATTTACAACAGTCAGGGAATTAAACTAAAATGCTCCTGAAATTAATTTCCAGTCCAACAAAAGATGCACAATGAGTAAGTTTTATTTACCTTCGCCTGGCCATATTATTTCATTACATAGCAACTAAATTCAAAACCATTATCCTTATAACAAATCTAAACAGAACTAAAGAAGTAAGGGGTAAAAAGTGTAGCTTTTTACTTGATCTTGGATACTACAATATTTATTTTCATGAAAATGAAGAAAAAAGTACTATTAAGAATGAATTCCGGGGGCTGGGGATTTAGCTCAGTGGCATAAGCACCTGCCTTGAAAGCAGGCAGTCGTGAGTTCAATCCCTGGTACCGATAAAAACGAAAAAAAGCCAAAAAAAAAAAAAGAATGAATTCCGGGCTGGGACAAGGCTCAGTGGTAGAGTGCTTGCCCTGCACAAGGCCCTGGATTCGATCTCCAGAGGTAGGATTAAAACAGAAAAAGAACATAATCTAAACTATTAAGGTATTCCTAGAAAGAGACAGCTTCTCTGGAAAGGCAAACTTTGGCCCGATGTTAATATTTCACCAGGAGGTCAACAGCACCCCAGCTCCATCTGTCTAGTGACTCCCATGAACATTAATAGATATATAGCACCAGATTCCCAAAGAACTTTATTTCTCCCAAAAAACTTACCTGAATTTAGCACTCATCCACTAAGTTAGAACAAAAATTCAGAATTGAGCCACTTGACAAACACAGTATTTAAGTTCAATATTTTTAGTTATGAAATTTGAGGTAAAGCATAAAAGTCCTTTCAGTTTTTGCTCTATTTGAATGATGATGACATCAACATGTTTTAATACTTACCATTCATTAGCACTGAATGGCAGATTACACACACTCTAGCTTCCTTTCTGTCCATGTATAACAGTTTACATTTCAGGCTACAGCAAGAAGCACAGAAAACCTGTGGTGAAAGAAGAATGTACTGAACTTACCAGTATCACAGTACAAAGGAAACAAAACAATTCTCAGGCCAGGTGTGAAGGTACACACTGTAATCTCAGCTACTCCAGAAGCTAAAATAGGAGGACTCCAAATCCAAGACTAGCCTGGGCAGTTCAGCAAGAACTTTTTTCAAAGTAAAGATACTTTCTAAAGAGATAAGGACTTAGCTCAGTGGCACAACGCTTGCCTAGGAGACCCTGGATTCAATCTTCCATACAGGAAAAAATGAAGTCAGGAAGCTGTCTAATCAGGATGTGTATCATCTGTCACTCCACTGATGGCCAAGGTTGATTCAGCTGATCTGACTGGCTAGGTGGGTGTCCACTTCCTCCCCCAACAGCCCCAGGTACATCCCCTGTCCCTAAAACTGCAGACTTGGTGGAAGAGGATGACCAACCCCTTAGAAAGGGGTTGGTTTTCCTCAGTCAAGGGTATACAAGTAGCTTCACTCCCTGCAAGCTCTCAGGGAAGTGGCACAGTTCATAACCAAGGGTGAGATTTGCAAATCTATAAACAATAAAGAAATCAATCAAGTCTACTAAAAATAAAAATCTTGGCTTAAGTCACACAGCAAGGAAAACCAGATCAAAACTCTTGAATTACTCTTAAGACAAATTTCTACATGTAATCACATAACATGATCATTTAAAGACAGTTCCATGTGTTATTTCTGTTTGGAACAGAATTATAGTAGGATAAAAGGAACAAAGATTGGAATGTCTGAGTTTTAACTTCTTTTTCTATACACCTTACATGTAGAATAACCACACCAACTTTTCTCATTGGTTTACTATGAAGGAATCAAAATACACAACTCAATCATAAAAATAAGAACAGCTTTAGATAGAGGAAATCAAAGCAAGCAACCAAAATCAGACATACTAATTTTCAGACCCTCATTTTCACCTTCTGGACTTAGTGGAATCTCACGTCCTTTTCCTTTCCACACCATTCAGTAATAATCTCCTTGAGTTTCTGTTAAGATTTATTTAATATTTATTTTCTTGAGGATTCTTTAGTATTCTACCACACAGAGTATTATAGAGGGGAAAAAAGCTGTTTTTAGTAGAAAAAAATTCTACTTCTTCAGTTTTTATGGCCAAGAAGTATTCTATATCTTCAAAGATGAACCAAGTGATACCAAGTCATATTAAAGTTAATGTCAGATAATCACACTGCCTCCATTTGATAAAATTAACACCTTGACACTATGATAGCCAATTTAATTTTCAAAGGGTCTTACATTCTCTAAACAATGCTTAACATATAGGGAGAAGAAAAGAGTACCTTTACTTTCTATAGGAAGAAACTGAGTTTAAATAGTTAAATAACTTGTTCATGTCTACAACAAACTGGATAAACACTAGTCACTGTACGACACCGATTTACAATACAGTCAAATAATAGACAAGTGCTATGGTCTGAATGTTTGTGCCCCTTTAAAATACACATTTTAAATTCCTAACCTCCAAAGTGATGGTATTAGGTAGTGGGACCTTTGAGGAGAGCGGTTAGGCCGTAATCTTCATGACTAGGATTAGCATCCTCATAAAAGATGTCTAAGAGAGAAGCCCAAAACACCCCACCATATCTGAAATATCATCTAAGAACCTTCTTCCAATTCCCAAAGCTAGAGACTTCAAGTCATAAAGTTAGTGTCAGAAATAAAGAGAATTACATATTTTCACACTTGAAATTATTAAACTGTGGAAGTATTTTACTATGTACCATATACCAAATGTGTACTAGTGAAAAATAAAATAAATTTAAAAAGAAACTGAGTCATTTGTCCTATACTTTTCCACAATCTGATTTTCACTAATTGCCTCCTTGTGGTATTTAATGTATCTAACTCTATATTTCCTATAAATCGTTAGATACAGGGATTTAATTAGATTCTAGTTTACTCTTTTTGGCAAGAATAGACTAGATCGTGCATTGTTCTGAACTGAATAAATATTAAGAACCACTAAGAATAAAAAAAGAAAAAGAACAACCAAATTTTACCCATTAAAATTACTTGTTTTTGACTTTCAATACTCCATTCAGACATACTTGTTTGTACACCCAAGAATAATTTTTATAATTATAAACATAGCATGAGTTTGCATTCTATTTTAATCATATCATAAGCATTTTCCAAATCATCTTACAATAATTATTTTAATGGCTAAATCAAATGTAGATATTATATTCAGCAAATTTGGGCAAGAATTACTTTTTTAAAAAATTAATTACATTTATTGGTACATTTTAGGTATACATAATGATCATATTCATCATAGGGAATTTGTACCTGTACACGACACAACTCGATTCTTTTTTTTCCCATTCCCTTACCCTCCTTTGAACTCCCTTCACCTTCTTATTTACAAAAGCTTTGCTTCTATTTTTTCTTTTTCTCATCACTTTTTTTCTTTTCCCTTTCTTCCCCTCTTCCCTATTCTTAGTTCCCCTTCCCATTTGAACATTTTCTACCTATTTCACAAATATCTATTTGGACATAAATTATTTCAAAAGTATCTGCTATTTTAAATAACGGCAAACTGAACACTTTTCTGTTAACACCTCTTGTTCTTTCAGAATTCTTCACCCAAAAGGAATTATTAACTCAAAGAATTAACATATATGGCTTCCTAAATGTATAAATATGCTGGTATCAGCATCACCTGTATTGAGTATTACCAACTTTTTCACATTTTCTATTGTTGTTATATAGGAATAATTTTTAAGAGTTTATCCTGAAAACAGATTTAAGTCTTTCATGACGGTTTATTAACCTATTTAAATTTTTTTCCCTGGGTACTGGGAAGTGAATCCAGGGGCTACACACTGAACTACATCCTTATCCTTTTTTATTTGTATTTTGAGACAGGATCTTGGCTAAACTGCCTAGCCTGGGCTTAAACTTGTCCCCAGTAGGGGACAAGGAATTGGCATTACTATAGACATGTGCCCCTGCACCCATTTCTTTTTGCCCACTTATAAAATGTGAGTGCTTTAACAATTTGCATACATGGTTTATATGGGAAAGACACTTGGCCAGTTGACAAGCCATACCAATTTCTGATTTGTTCTGTCAGGGGAAGCACTGATTTAGGACTCAAAATCCTACCCTGAGTTTTTCAACTAATTCTCTTCAGTTTAAATAATTATGACTAAAATAGATTAATGGACAAATTTCTAAAAACACTAACGTATCAAGAATGAATCAGGAAAAACCCAAAATATCTAACTAAACCTACAACTAATAGGCAATAAAATAAGTAATCAAAACCTCTCAACAAAGAAAAGTCCTAGGTGAGATGGCTTCATTGGTAAATTGTACTAAGATTTAACTAACATTTAAGAATATCAATTCTTTTCCAATGCCTCCAAAACTTAAGAGGAAACACTTCCTAACTCTGTGTATGAAGCTGCCATTGCCCTGATATTTTTTTTTTAACTTTTTGAGATAGGGCCTCACTGTGCAGTCCAGGCTGGCCTTGAACTCACAATTGGCCCAGATTGGCCTGGAGCTCACAGTGGGCACCCCTCCTGCTTCAGCCTCCCAAGCGCTGTAATTACAGGAATGCACCACCACACCTTGCTTGTCTTACTTTCAAAACCAGATCAATGAAGCCAGAATTGTAGAACAATGGTAGAAAACATGCTTAGCATGCACCAGGCCCTGTGTTCTATCTCTAGAACCAAAAAACAAAACAAAGCAAAACAAGTAGGAAACCTTTACATACTAGCAAATGAAGTTCACCACAATATTAAAACTATTATAACAGGGGCTGGGGATTTAGCTCAGTGGCATAAGCACCTGCCTTGCAAGCAGGCAGTCGTGAGTTCAATCCCCAGTACCGATAAAAAAGAAAAAGACAAAAAAAAAAAAAAAAAAAAAACTATTATAATAAAAACCAATTGACATTTATTTTGTTTCACTTTGCTTAAGGCTTGACATAAGCATTTTGATTCTGATGACGTAAGAAAAGCAATGCAACAGACTGTATTAACAGAATGAAACAAACAAACAAACAACCATATGATCAGCTCAACTGATAAAGAAAAAGCCTACAACAAAATTCAACACTCAATATAAAAAACAAAAACTACTCAATAAACTAGTGGTAGAAGGAACCAACTTAACATAAAAAATGGCATATATTGAAAATCTATAGCTAATCTTATATTCAATGGTAAAAGACTCATTACTTTCTCTTTTAGATCAAAACAAGATATGAATATGTTCTTTTGTTGTATCTTTTTAATGTAGTATTAGAAGTTAGCCAGGGTAACTAAAAAAAAAAGCAAATTGGAAATTACATCTGTTCATATACAACAGGAGCTATACTGTAAAAAAATCCTCAAAACAGCACAAAAAATGTTAGAACTAATTTTTTAAAAATTCAAAAAAGCTAAGGATTCAAATTCAATGTGAATTACTGTGTGATGGTGTACTCCTATAATCTTAGCACTCAGGGAGGCTGAGGCAGGAAGATCCCAGTGAATTTGAAACCAGCCTGAACTACGCAGCAAGACTGTCTCAAAAAGCAAAAAACAAAACAAATGAAAAATCATTTGTTTTTCTGTACATCAAAAATGAAATTAAAATAACAACTATATTTACAATAGCATCAAAAATTATATACTCAGGAACTAACCAAAGCAGTGAAAGACTTGTATAGTAAAACTTGCAAAATTGCTGAAAGTAATTAAAGATGATATAAATACAATGTTCAAAACCTAATATTGCTAAGGTATCAATACTAGCTAAAGTAAATTAGATTCAAAGCAATTCCAACAATATTTTTGCAGAAATAAAAAAATCTATCCTTAAATTCGTACAGAATCTCAAGGGACCTTGAAAAGTTAAAAAAAAAATTGCAACAAAGAACAAAACAGGCAACTCATCTTCTCTGACTTCAAAAAAAAAAGTCTACAGAGATGGACCAGGGGTTTCCCTCAGTGGCA